CCATCCTGGCTTCCTTCTAAGAGGATAAAAGATAGAAGTAGAACCATGCAAGGTGGGGTGGGCTCTTCCGTCCACATAATGTGATCCTGATCAGCACCCCGCAGTGGCTCTTGTTTGCAGGCAATTGTTTTAAAGAGAAGAATCTGCAAGGCCACACAATGCATTTGGAATCACAGGTAGCTTGGCACTTTGGCTCTGTGGCATGATTGATCCATCCCTTGTTGCTGTCTCTTGAGCAACAGTCCAGCTGGCAGGAACAGAGGATAATCCTTCATTTGTTCAACGTTATTAGAGGGTGATCCTTAATTTGTACAGCCTTCTGAAAGCTGTGGAAAATTGAATGGGTTGTAAAAGCCATAAATCAATCAATCAATCAATCATAGCATGTTTCACCTAATTTCTGTCTTAAGGAAATTTCTTCTGTAAGGAAAGGTCAAGAGCTGGCTAGAACCACTTAATTTTCCTACAGCAGGCAACCCTATTTTGCTGCAGTGTAGTAGTTTGTGCCAATACAGCCTTCAGATGTTTAAAGCTCACTGCAGACTTCTTTTGTGGCACTTGGAGACCTTTGTGGATGAAGGACCAAAATACACATTAAGGGCACAGTCCTCTGCATGGCCGAGGGATGCTGGGAGCAGTGAAACTTCTTTCAGTCTAATCATATCAAGAATTGCACCTTAAGAGAGTCTAGAAATGCCTCTTCCAACCTGTTGTGCTGAACTGCCAAGCTGAAGATGGTGAGAGCCATACTCCAGCCCTTTGGGATGGCACCAGGTTGCATATGGCTGGCTTAGAACCCTTGAGAAGAACTCTTACGTGTCAATTATCTTTGCTCTGCAAAAGTCATAGTATCTCTTTTGCAGAGAACATTGGCAGCCAGCATGCAGTGTGGTGAATAAATAAATAGTGCAATAACAAAGAGCAACTGTTGCATAGAAGTAAGGAAAGCACATACTCAGAAGAGCAGGCCTGCCTTCCTGTGGGTCTCCCATCCAAACCCTAACTGGAGGTGTTGGAACTCAGAGGGAGGGCACATACTTGGCATGCAGGGCCCCCAAAGGTCGATCTGGGCAGGCAGGGCTGAAGAAAGGACTTGTGATCTTGCACAGCTATGGCCAGTCAGTGTCGACTGGGGGATCCACTTTGCCTCTGAAACCAGCATGTGGCTAGATAATTTTAGAGATTAATGGTCATAACTCCTGGAAAGCTACGCATGTTACTGAAATGACTGAATGAAATAGGATAGCCTTCCCCAGCCTGGTGCCCTCCAGATGTATGAGACCTTCACTCCCCTTAGCTACCATGTGCAGGACCCATGGTCTGGCAGGATGGGAGTTGTAGTCCAAAACATTGGGAGGAAATCCTAATCTTGGGATTAGGGTTCAGCTCCTTTATAGTTTGGACTAAAGCCTATAGTGACCTTGGTGCCAGCAGCCTCCACTTCTAATGATGGGGAAGCACGGAGTCTCCCAGCTGTATACACTTCATGAGCAAAATTAACACAAACACACCCATCCAAACTTCCAGAAGCACAAAGAGGATGCAAACAGCTTTTGCCTAGTAATTTAATTTTGTTGTATATCCAAGCCAGCCTTCCACAACCTGGCAGCCTCCAGATGTGCTGGACTACCATTCCCATTTTCCTAAGCCAGGAGATGGTGGTAATGGTAGTCCCCCAGTCCTGGGGGACCAGCAAGATGCGGAAGGCTTGTGTAACTACATGACAGTCTGGTTATATGTTTATTGTATTTCTAAACCATCTGATAACCCATCGGGCTTATGTATACAATAAATAAATAGCATTAAACCCCAATAAAAGCAAGAAATAACAGAATACATGAGACTTGGCAACCCAGTTACAGCTTATGCCACAATAGCAGTTCAAACATCAATAAAAACAATATTAAAACCAATCTTTGGTTTTAATTATAACATCAGGCAAATAAAAAAGCTTTAAGTTGGCACTGGAAGGAGTTCAAGGATGATGCCAGATGAATCTCCTTGGGGAGCATGTTCCACAGGCAGGATGCTACCACAGAGAAGGCCCTGCTTCTAACCATTGACCCGTTTACTTTTTTTAGCATTAGTCCCTTAAGAAAGAACTCCATTGCAGATCTGAAGGCCTGGGCAGGCACATATGGAGAAAGGTGTTCTAGGTAATCTGGCTCCAAGATGTTTAGAGCTTTAAATGTTGATGCCAGCACTTCTGGATTGGGCCTGGACTTCAACTGATAGGCAGTGCACCTGGCAGAGGACTGATCTCATAAGCTGGTCCCCATTATCAGCCACACTGCCCTGTTCTGGACCAGCTGAAGTTTCCAGACTGTCTTCAAAGGCAGCCCCACCTAGAGTGCCTTACAGTAATCCACTCTGGTCACTTGTATCATCCTGCCAAGAGAGAAGGAAAACTTACCTCACCCTTGTGTCTCAAGATTTCCAGCAGCAGATGTGTAAATGCCTCTTTTCTGGTGGGACATCACAGGTGGTGTGTTGAGACAAGAGATGCATTGAATCACACAGGGTTTGGTGCTGTATCAGGGGACCATGATTCCACAGGGCAAGCTGGGGCACAGAAGCCATGACCATGAAATTCTGCCCTTTCAAGTTTCTAGCTCACATGGTTAGAAACAATGTGGTAACTGTAGGGTGGCAGCAGATGCCGAAGTGCCCGAATCCCATTTCAATTGCTGCTTGCAGTACACAGATGGGAAACTTTCACAGACTGAACAGCAATCAAACAAGAAATTTGTGTAAGTTTCCTCTGTAGGCTAAAGCAAGGCTGATTCAGTCTACAGGGGAAATCTGTATAAATCAAATGGAGAATCAAGAGTTGGATGAATGTGAGCATATGTTCAGTCATTTATGAATTTTTTTAGAGGATGTGTGCTTATCCTCATATCTGGATCTTCAGACAGGGCGTGCTTGCACAATTTTTGAGCAAAAATGAAATTCTCATACAAACTACTTCCCTGCTCTGTTTGCACTTGTGCTATTCTCATAGCAAACTGGAATTTATCTGAAGCTGACCCCAGGGTGAGTTTCCCCACAGTCAAAGCCCTCAACAGGCCCAGACAGAAATTAAAAGTCACAGGTGCATTAGCCCATTTCAATGTCATTATGAGAGGAAGGCCAGGAATACACACGGAAATGCCTCCTGTGACCTTTTGCACACATGTGGCTCTTAAACCTGAATAGCAGCACAGAGGTTCTTTGTAAGCAGCACACTGAGGCCCTTACTCACAAGTAGACCCACTGCCACAAGGGAGAGTGAACTACAGGCTCCTTCCCCCACTCTTGATCCACTTCTGAGGATGGAGAGCAGGCAGCAGCTTGCCTTTGCCTGTTCCCTGAGGAAACTAACAAAAAGAAAAGGAGGGGAGGGGCAGATGACTGCTCTGAAAAATGGGCAATGATGCTCTTTAAGGCAGGACATGTGGAACATGCCAAAGGGTGACCCTTCATAGGACATGGGGTGAATCAGTGCCCCCCCACCCCAAATCAGCAACTGCGGATTGCAACAGCATTACATGCACCCTTAGATCTGGCAGATTGCAACAGCGCTGTCTAGGCAAGAGAAAAATGTCCACTTGAAGATCTCTGACTAGTGCACTTCAGATTGTGGGAAAAAATAAAATGCCCGTGGCAGAAATAGGATGCTAACTTTTGTTAACTGCCCAGAGAGCTTCAGCTATTGAGCTGAATAAAAATGAAACACATACCTAAATAAGCAGGTTCTTTGTGGGCCTTCCTTTGCAGGTGATTCAGACACTGCTATGGGTACAGAACCCAACAACTAGAACACACGTGGGAGGCTATGTTGTCAGACCTGTTGATTTGTACTAAATTTTGGTCTTTTCTACTCAAACTGGACCTTTTCCTCTGGTCAGTTTTGGAATCTGCATGCTGGAATCCCTTCCCCAAATGGCCTGCATTGGGTCCCCCATACATTAGAAATGACTGGGAGGCATGGCACACAGTTCCATGCCAATTAGTTTGACTTTTCCCTCGCACAAAATTGTGAGGAAACCCAGATTTAAAAATCAGCATAAAAACATTGATTTCACAGGCATGGACAGATCAGCTGATTTTTATTTTGAATCAGCTTATAGGTCCCAATGATAACTTTCTGCCATTTTCTCCTTGGCAGGTGAAATGCAATTAGCAAGCTAAGGCTGAACAACAGAACGTGCAGTTGAAACATTTGCTAGGATTTAGGTTTGCTGCCTCTGCTTTGCAGCGCTACAGTCTCCTTTGTTAACCTGCCCCCACCCCATACTACCTTCTGGATCCTAAATCCAGCCCCTTTTATTAAAGCTGAGCAGCTATACTGGCCCACAATCCATGTTTATAAACATACATTAATGGTGAACGAATATGATACATGGGGTCTTGAGTAAGATTGAAATGAGGAACTCAAGCATCCTATTTCACTTGAGCAATGGATTGCTTCATTAGCATCTATTTCAGAAGGAGTAAGAGATACTAGGTACTGCTTAATTTAGCAAAAACAGATGTTTTGGATATTGGACACCAGCACATCTTTTCAGTGAGGGTTTATTCCAATTGCTGGAGATGTGCTACCACAAATTCTTCTCTTACTCCTATGTTTTGGCATGGCCCAATGGCTGCTATTTTTTGGGAGGAGGTAATAAGGAATTTTTCATCACAAAGCTTAATAATCATGGATACACAACTTCCTACCTTTCTACCCATCTCCTGGAATGTAAAAGGTGGTTGATGTAAATGCATTCCCCACACTCTTCTTATGGCAGGAAGACTTATTACAACATTGGAAGAAGTAATGGCCGCCTGAAGTAACACAGTGGGTGGAGGACTTGAAGTTTTGGATGTGTGAAATGGTGGTCTTTAGGCATAATTTATCAATGGACCAATGCATGGCCCTCTGGACTGTCTTTCTGAAGTCTGTTTAAAATTATACCCATTTTGCTGCACAAAAAATATATAGAGCTACATCATTTCATTCCAAGAGATTCACTCAATTTCATGTAAGAAAACTATTTTATTTCTTTGCTTATTTTTTAGATTGAGGTTTTGATTTTGAAACTCTTAATATGTTTTTTTTTTAATCAGGGATATTTTGCCTGAGGACACATTGATTCCAATCTGCATTTGGAGCTTACAAATAATTTGCTTCTACTGATGTGTGGGTTTGGTAATATTGTAAGCTGCCTTATGAGAGCAGTGTATGCTGAAAAACAGATTTACAGTCTTTCACAAATGAAGTTGTGCAAACTGGCCTTCAACTGTGCAAAGGCTCCAGGTATGTTGGTGCCAAGCTAACCCCGCTTCCCTTCTTCCCTCCACAGTGAATACACAAAACTAAATGGAGCACTTTGCTCCTTCCTTCCTTCCAATGCCTGAAGACCCCTCACTGAAGGGGCGCTGAAGGAGGCCACACACTCAGACCAATCAACCCAGTGAGTACCACTCCACCAAAGAGATCTAACCACCATCAGCCTGTGCTCAGGATTTGTCCTCAAGATCTCTGTCCTTGGATTTCCTCTGCAAGAAAGAGTCAGACTTTTCCTTTCTATTTTCCACATTTATTTATAAGAAAAGTAGCACATCATCAGCCTTCTCCTACATGAGCTGTTTGTGCGTTAACACCCTCCATAATGCACATGGAGAAGAGACAGCAAAAACACAAGGGTGCTGCATTTTTTGCTGGTGGAATTAAATAGGGATTTAAAATGAGTGATTAAAAGCAGCACAGGAGTGGGGTGCAAGACAAAGGATTCTTCTGAGCCCTGCTGAGTGCCATCCGAGGAGTGACAGGGTGTGGTGCAGCTGATTCCAGCTTTCCCTGCTGATCCTCGAGCAGTGGCTTTTTTGTGGCTCACCACAATGAAGGACCCATTTCTAGAGAATCTGTTCCATGATTGTATGCCCTCATTCCATTAAGTAGGCCACAAGCCAATCAGATCTGTCTTTTGGTCTCTCAGCCACAGCCAATGAACAGTCTATTTACATGCTGTCATTCAAGGTGCAAGAAGCCATTCATCAGCTCAGGCTTTGGCTGAAAGGAGGGAGATGCTGCTGCACCTGTCTTCCTTGATCCCCCGGCCTCAGACCATGGCAGTGGCTTCGCAGGCTTTCATGAGCTGCAGAGGGTTCAAGGCCAGCAAGCTGTCCGCTTCCAACTCCTAGAAGGGGCCGTGGGGTTCTCAGGATGCTGCTTGCAGGCAAACACTAGGATCTGCCAGGGTTGATGAGGCAGATATTGTTTGTAAGGATATTGTTAGAAAAAAGTGTGAAGGTGGGAAAGTTATATTGAGACACTCCAGTAGCATGTACACTAGCCCCAGCACCGAAGGGCTCTTCTCTGGGTGGGACTGAAGCTCCAGGCCAAGGAGGCAAAATGATCCCTCTTACTCTAGGATGGAAAGCAGATGCTCTGCATGAATTAAGGGAGGAACGGCACACCTGAATGCAGACTCAGCACGACAAATGAAAGGGAGCACATGGGGAGGAGGAACAATGCTACAGAAACACCCCCCACACAAGTCAATTGCACAGCCACCAACAAGCACTGCGTGAGGCTGCAATGGTGCTTCTCTCTCGCTCTCTCTTTTGCCTGAGGAGAAACAGAGATTTGGACCCAGGCAAGGCAGGGAAGATTCCAAGCACTCTGCTTCCAACACCATTTCATTTCTCCAGCTTTGCTCCCAAACCAAGCTCAACCTTCAAAGGCTACATTTTCCATAAACACATGCACACACAAATGTACACAGTTAAAAAAAACTACACATACCCTCCGCTCCTGAAGACAACTAAGGGGTCTACACAAAGCACATTGCAAAATGCTACAACGAAAATGCAGTGCCATCTGATGAGATTGCCATCCTAAACAGTAGTTTAATAAAAGGCAGGAACCCCTGTGCGTGAATATGCACTTTGGTCCAAGCATATGCTTGAGACATGCGTCACTTAAGCTTTCCTCTCCAACAAAGGAATGGGTTTCTGCAATCTGAACATTAGGATCAAAATGTATCTTTGTTTTATAATGCAATGCAGGGGTCGGCCCATGTGGCCATCCAGATGTTTCGGCGTACAATTCCCATCATCTGTCACCAATGGCTAAGCTGGCTAGGACTGCTGGGAGCTGCAGAATGAATACCTGGAGGGCCACAAGTTCCCTAGATTTGACAGAACAGTTTTAGACAAGAGCACAGATCCTGTGATAGGAAGGTAAATGCAGCAACTTGTTCCTTGCGTGACTGAGAAGCCTCAAAAGGTTTCGATCTTCCATTAGCTTGATCTTCAACACCAAAGACACACTTTCAGAACAGCTGTTTGATTTTCCCTAAATCTTTTGTAACCATATATGCACGCACACACACACGTTAAACTTCCCCACTTAGAAGGGCCAGGAGAAGATACGGGACAAAGAACAAAGCTGTGTGCAAACAGCAATAGTTTCAACCATCTTCAAACTGCGAATTGTTATGACATCCCCTGGGGAGCAGGATGGATGGAAAGAAGGGGAGGGCGCATTCTTCAAAATAGATTTCTACGAATGGATGTAGATCTAGCTCTATGAAAAATACATCTGTATGAAAGGAGTCCAAACCAACCATGGCTTCAGAGCTTTGAGGCTTTTGCCCAGCCCTCTGTAAGCAAAACCAAAATGACCTCCATCTCACGAAAGGAAAAAGGTAATGGAAGATAGTGTGCTCACATCGACCAGTTTCTTCAGCCTTTTCAATCTTAACCCTCAGCCTTACCAAAAAGGGGAAAAAAAGAATGGGAAGAAGGAGGGAACACACAGAACCAGAACCTTGCTCGAGTTGTACATCTCAATCATCCCTCAAAACAAGGACAACAAGATCACCTTGTGACAGATGAGCGTGTGTACGGGACTAACAGAACCAGCCAAGAGGGCAAGCGACTGGATAAAAGTAAGTGGGAAAAGTCCCAAATGAAACTGGCAGAGAAGTTCCCAGTTGCCAGCTTCTTGTGGGCATCCTTTTTGCCAGCACCTTGCTCTGGAGCTTTGCTCAGATGTCCAGCAGCCCTCTGCCAGGAACCTCAGGGCCTTCCCTGGTTGAGATTCAAGTCCGAGCCTTAGAAGTCACTGAGGATGCTGATGTCTGCGAACTCATTCTTGTATCGATGGGAGTACAAGCCAAGGAGGAAGGCCCACTTGAAGGAGATGAAGCTCCAGACACAGGACAGGTAATAGCTCTTGGGATCTTTGATGGCTAAGGGAGAAGCACATTGAAAGACCATGAATATCTAGCCCAACTACCTCTGTTGCTCATGATCTGAGGTGGAGAAAAGTCACCACTGGGTTAATAAAGTCAATGGAATGAACCATCCACAGGAACTGTGAGGCTGGAAAGCCAGACTACAGCTCTCTAAATAAGGTCAGAACATGGCTCCCGTGATGCCTGAGAACTGGGCTTGCTGGCGGGGATTGACACGGCTTGCAGTACAACACTAGTGAAGGACCCAAGGCTGGACTCAAGGACCAGGGGTGAGCAATGTGTGGCTACCCAGGTATTTTGGCTGACAACTTCCATCAGCCCCAGCCAGCAGAGCCGGTCATCAGGGAGGATGGGAGCTCTAGGACAAAACATGTGGATGCCTACAAGTTGCGCATCCCTGGCTTTTCCAGCAGCCAGCCAAATGCTCCCAAGACTTTCACCAGCAAGTCACGATAAAAGGAGAGTGGTGAGCACTGGACTCATTCTGCTGCTCTGACAAGAGCCCAAATAGGCCTCTAAAGGGGCCCAATCCTGCTAAACAAGGCTCGTTTCTTTCCCAGCAACAACATTTTCATTCCCTTTTCTGGCTAATAATTACCAGCCACTTCCCTTTATGAATCTGCTACCTTAACAGCCCAAAGACTTGTCATGTTGGTTGTTCCCAAAGATCCATAGGCTATGGCCACTCTCTTCCTCAAAATCTGATCTAAACATAATATTACTGCCCAATTAGGAAGTGTCCAGTTTTAAGAATATCTACTCTGGGGCGGGGGAGACACTTCTTGGAGGTAACGGCTTATAGCAAGGGTGCACAATCTGAGGTCCTGGGGTACATGCAACCTTTGACTTCCTCCCTGAAGTCCAACAACATTGAGAGGGCCACAGGTATCCCACCTCCGGGTTGCTAAACTGAGATCCAAACCAGGTAGGGAATGCCCACTGAACATGCCGAGGATGGAAGGGGTGTGTGTGCGTGCTAAGCAAGGACAGGGCAGTCTGCTTCTGCCTGCCCCAAGCCGACTCGGGGCAGAAACCAAGAGATCGTGAACTTACACTGGTGCTGCGTGATGGCCAGGGCCAGGAAGATGCAGAAGCCCACCATGGAGAGTACGCTGAAGAAAACACCAACACAGAGGAAGAACCTCAGCCCTTTCAACCATGTCCTCCAGTAATCCTGCACGTACATCACATGGGTGATGAGGGTCCAGATCGCCAGGACACCTGTTGGAGCAAAAGGAGAGTCAAGGCCAAGCAGGATCACAAACACCAGGAGTGAGCAGCAATCTTAGGTGGGGTTTAGAGCAGGCTTCCCCAAGGGGTTTCCTCCAGAAGGTTTGGACTTCAGCCACCATCAACCCCAACCAACATGGGTAACAGTCAAGGATTCTGGGAGCTGCAGTCCAAAACCTACGGAGGGCACTAGGTTGGGGAAGGCTGGGATAGGCTCTTGGAGTCCTGCCATGTGCTTAGAAAGTGCTACTTCACACACTAGATGAAGGACTGCTCCTCCATACAAGATAGTCCTTGTACATGGGAATCTAGCAAAGCAAGAAGGCAAGACCAGGTTAGCACCTTCCTCCCTGAGATGCTTGCTTTCTGCATGCTATGCAGAATTCTGTGCTATGAGGGAGCACTTCTTCAAATGAGCACCTATCTGAACTCTGAAGCAGTACAGACCAGACACAGGCCTACCAACTCATAACCAGTCCATATTCAACTGGGAAACCAGGGGCCTTCGCCTGCCCTATCACGGGAAACAACTATTTCCAAAGAGGGTAGCCTGTCCCAGACTGCTGCAGACAAAGAACCTTGGGGTATCAGAAAGCTAGGAAACTTAGCATGCATTTTTATGGGCTGGAGTCCACTTCGTTAGAGGTCTTGAATATTATTCTGAGATGCAGGTTTATGTACAGTTCCAAACATACACGTGTATCCTTGCAACTCAAACATGTATACAGACTGCATATCAGACAGTGGACCCTATGCCACCGAAGCTTATATTATACTAAATGTATTCCCTTTTAAGGTGCCAACAAACTCTTTAGCATAAACACTAGTTTGTGCTTAAAAATCTAGGTCAACACTTAAAGCCAGGGTGGGCAATTTGAGGCCCTGTAAATGTTTTGACTGACACCTGCCACCAGCCAGTGGTGGGCTTTCATGGGATCTGCAGACCAATACATCTGGGAGACAAGCTGCCCACCCCCTGCTTTAACAAAGGCAGCTTTAGTGTGAAATATCTTACTGTGTTATTGAAAGGATCACTTGAGGCCAAGCAGTTCACTCATGTACATAAATATCTATGACTGGTGAATCAAAATGACGTACAGGGACTCATCCAAGAATGGAGCATCCCATCTCGGCCAGTAAATGGCATGCTTCATTATTATCTATTTCACAAAGGGTCAAGGAACTCAGGCTAAGCTTAATTCAGCAAAAATTGATGTTTTCAGCATACTAGATGCCATAATGTCTCTTTGTCAGGGTCTTAATTAAATTGGCCAGTGTTTGGAAGTGCTGATGCTTCTCTTCTTCATGTTTGGCAATGCCCAATGCCAGCTTCCTTTTGGGGGGATTAACGATTCAGCTAAATTTTGCAATGGAAAGTTCTTTAATATTCAGTGACACACACATACTTCTTAATTAGTTACCTATCTCTTGTAACAAAATCAACATAAATTGATTTTCCACACCCTTTTGACAGCTAAAATACTATTAGTGGAGCAGTGGAAGAATGAATGACCACTGGCAATAACCCTAACCCTAACCCTGCCATGGATGAAAAATTTAATGAAACTTTCATTTTTTGAATGTGTGGTCTTTAGGTATAATTGTCAAATAGATAAATATATTGGTATTAGAGGTGCCTTTGTTGAATTCTATGCACAGTATTTTAAAAAATATTAGCAATAAGTTCTATTACATACTAGAATGCAAGGATATATTATATATGTAACTAATTCTAAGGATCTTTCAGGATTTCATTCAACTACTGTAATATCTTAGATTGTTTTCTTCTCTGGCAGTGCACTGTTTCTCTCTGCAGCCACAGGCAGTTTGACCTGATGGAAAAAGTGGGGCAGCAACCACAAGGGTGGCAGCTACTGTAATCCATAGAATACAGAAAGCTGCTTTATACTGAGTCAGGCCTTGGCCTATGGAGCCCAGCACTGCTGACTCTGGCTGGCAGCAGCTCTCCAGGGTATCTGGCAGGATTTTTGCCTAGCCCCACCTGGAGGTGCCAAAGGTTGAGCCTCCTCCTATGAACTGAAGGTGAACCTCCCCTCTTCTAGCTTCTTTCTGTCAAACCTATGCCATCTAGCTGTCTACAGATGCGCTGACTCCAGGCTCGCTCTTTGGGGATCCACTCTATAGAGGTCAGGAACCCCAGTGTCGACACGAGGCAAAGTGCAGTGACCTATGCATTTTGTTACACTCACCCAAGACCTCCTGCCTACATAGAAGCACACTGCAAAAGCACCCCCTCCCAAAACTAACAATTAAATAAAAAGCCTTTGCAGATTTTATGGAGATTTTATAGAAGTTCCAGAGTGCTTTCCAAACACAGAAATGGGAGCTTCCTGTTTTGCAGAAATACATTTCCACAGAGGGGCAGTGGAAACATAAGTGCCTGGTTTACATTTAACCGGACCCTTGCATTAATAAGCATTTTCAAAAATGCAGAGTCACTCTTTCACTCCTAGCCTACTTTGCTGAGGAAGCAGTTTGCGGCCAGAGGCTCACCCTCACTCACATGTCAGAAACTGACTCAACACCAGAGGCAGCCTCCTCATAGCAGCAGCCACCTGATGTGACACTTCAGGAAACTGCTGCTGAGCAGGAGGATCTTTGGATAGGAAGTCTCCAGGATGACTCAGCAAAAGCAAAATGACTGGACAAAAATAAGCCTTATGCAAACATTCAGAAAGAGATTCTATGGTCATGGCAGCTGCCCACCCCGATTTTTAAATACTCTCCTGACAAGTGCAGAGTTGGGGTGCATGCATTGGCTGCTAACTGATGTGGGGTTTCCAAAAATTGTGAACTGGGCAAAAAAAAAAAAAAACCTAGAAAAATCCTGTGCCTTCAATTCAGGAGGTGTATGACTCACAGCACAACCCATGAAACCAACAGGGAGCCACCCACTCAGCTAGATTGCATTTGGGGAACAGAGACACCATTTTCTGTAGGCCCAGTGAACTTTGCTTGGTAATGTCAGGGGTGAAAGCTTCCCCAAGCACCCTTACTTCTGAGATCATAGTCTTCTGCCAGTAACAGCAGCCTGACAGTCATCCCAGGGGTGACTGTGGGAATGGAGAGCTTACACCTCCCTACCCACTCCCAGTGATCACTAGATCTTGGATAAGAGGTTTAATTCAAATCCTTTCCTCAGCACTTAAGTGTGCGTGCGCACATGTGCATGCATGCACATGCATGCACACGTGTGCCTCGCTTAACACCACATGCGGCTCTCAGGTCCAAAAAAGGTTGTGCAGCTCCAATTTAGAAAAATCAAATGGTATCCCGAAATACTGTAATCAGAAAAGTGATTGTGGAAAAATTTCCACTGTATATTGCTGTATCCAGTGAAAGTAGGGGTAGGTACCTCATAGGCCAAAAATTCTGGAGGGCCTAGCCCCCGATCAGCCCAAGCCAGTGCAGCCAATCATGAGGCAAGATGGACACTGTAGGAAAAAGCATGTGGAGGACCACAAGTTGCCCAGCCCTGACTTAAATGTTACCCTGTCGCTGCTCTAAATACTTTGATTCTGACATCTGCAAACTTACTGATGACCCAACATCCACCTCTCTCTAGATGTGTTTGGATTGAACTCCCTTCTTTTTCCCATTCAATGCCTGCTTGAGGCAGGCTTGGGCTAGGATATTTGGCCAGTGGACTAAGGAAGACAATGGGAATATTCTGGGAATAATTTATTAGACTTCATAATTATTTCTTTGGGGTTCTTTAGTATTTTAATCTATAATTTTATTGTATCATTGTATGGCAGAAATGGATCACTGCCTTGTCGTGGTGAAGGGGCTTGCATAGCTCAATGAAGCTATGAGCTATGCTGTGCAGGGCCACCCAAGACAGACAGGTCATAGCAGAGAGCTCTGACAAAACGTGATCCACTGGAGAAGGAAATGGCAACCCACTCCAGTATCCTTGCCATGAAAACCCCATGGACAGTACCAAAAGGCAAAAAGATATGACGCTGGAAGATGAGCCCCTCAGGTCGGAAGGTGTCCAATATGCTACTGGGGAAGAGCGGAGGGCTAGTACTAGTAGCGCCAGAAAGAAAGAAGCGACTGGGTCAAAGCCAAAAGGACACTCAATTGCAGATGTATCTGGTGGTGAAAGAAGAGTCTGATGCTGCAAAGATCTATACCCCATAGGAACCTGGAATGTAAGATCCATGAATCAAGGCAAGCTGGATGTGGTGAAACAAGAGATGACAAGACTGAACATAGACATCTCAGGAATCAGTGAAGTAAAATGGACAGGAATGGGTGAATTTAATTCAGATGACCATCAGGTACACTACTGTGGGCAATGATCCTTCAGAAGAAATGGAGTAGCCTTCATGGTCAATAAAAGAGTAGGAAAAGCCGTACTGGGATACAATCTCCAAAATGACAGAATGATCTCAGTTCGAATCCAAGGAAAATCATTCAGCATCACAGTAGTCCAAGTCTATACCCCAGCCACTGATGCTGAAGAGGCTGAAGTTGACTGGTCCTATGAAGGCCTACAACACCTTCTAGAATTAACACCAAAAAATGATGTCCTTATCATCACAGGGGATTGGAATGCTAAAGTAGGACGCCAAAATATAACCGGAATAACAGGCAAGTTTTGCATTGGAGTACAACATGAAGCAGGGCACAGGCTGGTAGAATTTTGTCAAGAGAATACAATGGTCACAGCAAACACTCTTTTCCAACAACCCAAGAGACGACTCTACACATGGACACCACCAGACGGTCAACACAGAAATCAGATTGACTATGTGCTGTGCAGCCAAAGATGGAGAAGCTCTATACAGTCAGTAAAAACTAGACCAGGAGTCGACTATGGCTTACATCATGAGCTTCTTGTTGCAAAATTGAGGATTAAATTAAAGAAAGCAGGGAAAAGCAGTAGGCCACTCAGGTATGACCTAAATTATATTCCTGATGAATATACAGTAAAGGTGACAAATAGATTTAAGGAATTAGAT